AAAAAAAAAAAAAAAAAATTAAGGGAAAAAATGTGGTAGGGAGAATAATGCCCCCAAGGATGTTCCAAAAGCCTTAGATCTTGAATTTGTTGAAATGTTACCGTGTGCAGTAAGAGGGACTTTGTGGACGTGGTCAAGGGTCTTGGAAGGGGAGGGGATTTTGAATTATACAGATGGGCCCAGTGGTCACAGGGTCCTCAAAAATGGGAGACCAGTTGGAGAAGATGAGAATATGGAGCAAGAAGTAGGAGTGGGTGCCAAGAAATGCACATGGTTTCTATCAGCTGGAAAAGGCTAACTTCGGTCTGCTATAATAAAACTCATAAACTGGGTGACTCATCAAAAACAGCCAGTTCTTCTTTATAGATCAAAAAGCCTAAAAGTCAAAGATCGAGGTATCAGCAGATTTGGTGCCTTATTCGGTGTCTCACGCTGGTTCACAGATGGCACCTTCTAACCATATCCTCACGTGGTGGAAGACACAAGCCAGCTCTCTGGGGCCATTTTATATTTTAAAGAGAAAAATACAGTAACAAAATAACAACAACAAAGAGAAAAGTAAAAAACAAAAACAATAAAAACAATAATTTCAAATCAAGATAATAGGAATTAACAATGGTTGTATATTACATATTGTTATCTTCAATGAAGTTGCTCAGATTACCAGATGTAAGAGTGCAAGATTGATTAAACAGTTAAAGAGAATAAAAAATAATTTTAAAAACATTGGAAACCATAAAAACTTCACTAAACAATATGGTAGGAATTCACCAATGGTTGTTATATTGTATATTATTGTTTTTAAATTAGTTGTTCAGATTACCAGATATAAGCATGCAAAATTGGTCAAAAAATTTAAGCATTAACTGTTCTTTTCAATAAACCATTAGACATCAGCCATACAGTTATTCCAGCTGTCCTTGTACATACATATATTTTTTCCCTTCTTTTTTTCTTTTTTTTTCTTTCTTTCTTTCCTTTCCTCCTTTCTTTCCTCTTTTCTGTCATCACAGTTGTTCATTCCCTTTGAGTAATCTTTCCCTTCCACAATATCTATTGTATCTTTCAGACTTTATTTACTCTTTCAGATTCTTACACTAGTGAGACAATGTGAGGTTTACTCATGTGGGTCCAATTTATTTCACTTATGAATATGGTCTCTAGTTGCATCCATTTACCAATAAAAGCCTTGAGTTTACCTTTTCTTTATACCTGAGTAATACTCCAATGTATAAAAATAGCATGTCTTTTTTATCCATTCCTCAGATAATGGGCATTTGGGTTGTTTCCAAGACTTAGCTATAACAAATTGTGCTGCTCTAAACATGGGTGCACATATATCGCTCTGTTATGGTGTATTTAGTTCTTCTGGAAAAATACCCAGAAGGGAAATAGCTGGGTTGAATGGGACCTCTAATCCTAGTT